GAAAGAATACGTTGAGAAGAGAGAGAGAATATTAAAATACTTGGATTCACGGAGTCCGAAGATAACGATTAACGAGCATTTTATTATTTGATATTCTTATATTCAAAGTTAAGGATAAAACTGTGTCGGTCCGCTCTTTTCATTGTCTCATGTTACTGATTCTAGCCTCGTCAATTCTTTAAGTTCTTTGCCTGTAGTTTCCCCATTAATTTTTCTAATCTCCCTCACTGTGTCACATCTCGTTTCTTCTGACTAATTAGTTTTCGTCACTCACTACCACTTGCCGAGGTCCGATAAAACAGTCTTTGTTCTGACAGATGTCGCGCTGCATCATTCATGATAGCATTGATTTTCCCTACACTAAACAGCTTGTAACTCAACTGGCCTCCTTTGATTTACAAGTCACGTAAAGTCTTGTGTTCTGCACGACTATGGAAGTTCCACGCAATGAGAACACAGTCGTTGTGATGAATATGTTTTAATACAAGCAGCCATTATGATATAGATATGTCACTCAGAATAATGTTAGTAATATCATTTAATTCACAGAGAAAATATTTTAAACAAAATTTTCTTTGTCAGTGCGCCTAATTTAATGGGAAATATTAATCACATAAATGGAACATTTTACAGTGAAAATTTCAGATTTTGCCGATTAGGTTTTTTCTCTTGAATAGCCATGTTGAGTCGTTCCAGAGTTCCGCGTTACCGTTTGGTTCTGTTCAAGCAATTCATAATGTGTAATCCATTTCCACCCCACCATACTCACAACATCGTTTTACGCGGCTGAAAATCTTGTTTCACACGCGGTTTAGCTTGTTTACCGGGGCTAAGCCATTCCTTGCGCTGCTTCATATTGATGTACAGGCACCATTTTTCGTCGCCAGTAACAACTCGGTAAAGAAATCGTGGCTTGTGTCCATGAGTTGAGCGGTGACGAGCAAGCAAACCAACAGAGATTATGGCTCGTTGATTTTTGTTGCTGTCGCTTAAAGCATACGGAACCCATACTCCACTCTTCTGAACCTTTCCCATCGAATAACTTCTCTATAGTAGTGTGGGACCATTCCATTTTCTCAGCCAGTACCCTTGTCGTTTGACGAGAAATGTTGTGCAAATGTTGGTTTAATCGCTCTTCATCAAACTCAACTAGACGGCCAGAACGAGGTGCGTCTTTGAGGTCAAAATTTCCATCTTTGAACTTGGTATACAAATGATGAGCTATTCATTCAGCTATGGCATCCTCTCCATACACAGCACAAATGCCACAAGCAGCTTTTGCGGTCTTAGAACTTTGATTAAAAGCAAAAAGAAAGAGGTGTCGAAAATGCCCATATTTCTTAACTTGACATTCCATTTTAATGATCTCAAAATAAACAGAGATTAATTTAAATTAATTCAAATTAAAACAAAATAGATTACAAAATGAACCCAAAATAGAGTTCTCGAAAAAATAGTTTTCAAAAATTTGAAAACATAATAAATTGCAAAATTAAAAAAAAAACAGCGGGAACTAAGTTGCCAACACAATATTTCTTATCTCTATCTAACCATATCTAGCACTATTATGTTTACACCTCTTGGAAAAAATTTGGTAATTATTTATTTGCTTACGCGCGTATACGGTTGCTAATATCTAGTTATTTCATTAACCTAACCTTATACCTATAAATTGCTCCTTTACGTCAATCACTTTCTTCTATGTACACTAAACTGTATACTTTACCACATATGTTATTGCATAATGGCACTTTTTATTCTGGACTACTCCACCAAAAACATATTCGTCCCTAAAAGGAACCAATATGAACTCAGCTTATTGCACAAAATTGAAAGTGTCATGAATAGAATGAGATGGAAACTGTTTTTCGCCAAAGGTGAACACCACGATGAATGTGAATCTACCGATTTCTTTGCATTTAAGTCCCTGAAAACACTCATTGAATTTGAAAAGGATTTATTCCCTATAATTGATAGAATTAAATATGTTACCAAACACAACAACCTACAGAAGAGTATGATAAAAGACATTGCCAGGATACATAATACTGATAAAATCATCATCAAATCTGACATAACTGGCAATCTATTTTGTTACAATGTCGCCGACTATCACAAATCTATCTGCAAGGAAATTAATAGAGTGTATAAGAAAGTCCTAGCTGAATGGGAAACTGATATCAACAACGAGGAACAAATGACATCCACTAAACTTAAAAACGACGACAGGGTGCATAAGCTTAAAAAGCAACAGTCTTTTATTCCCGTTAAGGACCATAGGGATAATTTCTCCAACAACCCACAGTTCCGTTTGCTTAACCCTTCTAAGAATAATATAGGCAAAATCAGCAAGGCTATACTTGATCGAGCCTGTAATGGAATGCCACAGGGGTCAACCAATGGAAAAATACTAAAGATGCTATCAATTGGTTCACTAATATAAAAAAATAAAAGCGAGTGCACCTTTATGCAATTCGACATTTCTAACTTTTACCTGTCGATCAGTGAAGATCTATTAATGGCTGCTATAACCCTGGCCAAGAATTATTGCACTTCTCTATAGCGATGGAACCCGTTCGACTCTGCGGACGCTTGTGAACTAGTCGGCATACTACTACTACTTGGAGGCTCAGGTATACTTTCGATAGTGATAGCACTGACTGTACAGGGACGACGGAGTTATACTTCCACCAATCACAGCAAATTGACCGGCTTAGGAAACAACTAATGAAATTCTTTAAGAATCAAGGACTTAATATTGTCACTATCACCAACTCCAAAGTGATCATTTTCTAGACACTACTTTCGATATATCCAGAAGAATACGCATTCTTTATAATAAGCAACATTATAACCATATATACATTAATAAAGAATCTAACCACCCACCAGGTATCCATAATAATCTGCACAAATCTGTACAACATAGACTCACTACTAACTCCAGTAATAAAATATCTTTGACAAATTCAAAACAAAATATATTGATGCACGAAATAAAAGTAAGCACAATATTAAACTAGAGTACATTCCAAACACTAGCACGAATACCAAGAGTAAACGTAGAAATAATAATCGCAGCATAATTTGGTTCAATCCACCTTTTAACAGTAATGGCAGGACCAACATCGGTAGACTCTTTCTTAAATTAGTACACAAGCACCTTAACCATAACCCTTTTCTCAAAAAAATCTTCAACAACAGCAACATTAAGGTTAGATACAGCTGCACCATAAACCTTGACCAATATATAGCCCAACATAATAGTGTATCCCTAAACAAATACTTAAGCAACACTAATAACAGCCGTAGCTATGATTATCAAAAATGTAATTCCTGTAAAGGGACCATCTGTCCTATGAATGGCAAATATATGTATAAAAGAATTATCTATAAGGCCAGAATCAGGCATAACGATCAAATTAATTTCTATTTCGGGGCAACTGTTAATAATTGGAAAAAACGTTTTTTTATCATCACAAACTCATCCTTAACAGCAAAAAATACGCAAATGCTACAGCACTCTCAAAGTTTTGCTGGGGTATCAAAACAGATAGCTACACACCTGCAATAATTTGGGAATTCGTCGTTAAAATCAATCCATTTCAGGCCGGGGAACCGATGCAATCTGTGTTTACTACGAAAAAAGTTCATCATAAAAATATTAATAATTTTAATCTAATTAAAAAGCGGAATGAGCTTATGTTTAGGTGTATGAATAGAAAGATGTTTCTCTTAAAATATTGTAATCCTCGATAATTTACTTTTCGTTTAAATTTAATTTTCTCTTCACCTTCATTTTATGGCATACACCGATTAACTCCCTTAAACCATTCAAACGTCGCTTACCGAACTGCGTCCCCCGTTCAATTCTGTTTTTTTTTTCTAATAAATCATACTTACATCCCATTTTCTGCACTTAAAATCCAGTATCGCTTTTGTACTACTTTTGTACTATTCTAATTTTGAACTATGAATCACCGTCCTTCCCATGAACATCTGGATATTTTCTTAATTAAAGAATAAGCTCTATCTTGTGCCCGACGAGTTGGGTAACCAACGAAACTCAAATCGCACACCAAACGTAGGTATATGCATATTTATTAATATACATTTCTTAGTTCTGTCTAAACACATCGAGCACTATTATGTCGACACCTCTTGGCAAAATATGGTAATTATTTATTTGCTTACTTGTGTATGCACGCTAGCACGCACGTATACGGTTGCTAATATCTAGTTATTTTATTTATCTAACCATATATATATATATATATATATATGTATATATATATTATATATATGACTTCGTAAATGGTAGTATTAAAGCAATTAAGTATATTTGTTATCTTATAAAGAATTACGGAAAGTGTACAATTTTATAATAAACTCCAAAAGCTTTGTCAACTTTTCAAAGAATTTCAGATTACAGCTAAATTAATGAATGGGCTCCAAATCAAAATTTTTATTTTTCTACTTCAGTCATCTTTCCCTTATCATCATGTCTGTTATCGAGCTGTAACTTTTCTATTAGTACCGATTTATTTCACTAGATGGATGGATAGATTATAAAGATTTTCCTCTCGCGCAATTAAATTCCACAAAGTCAAAGACAAAGGCGGACACACATGATCGCAAGCAACTCAACAACAGTATTAAACTCAAAGGTTTAATGTACAAAGGGGTGTATGCACAAATAGGTAAAAGGCTTGCAAATATAATTTATATTTTCGAACTTAAATGCTAGAAGAGTGTCCAAGGAGCAAGTGGGTTCTCGACCCCATTAATGTCAGAAAGAACGACTTCAGTAAACGTATGGTCACTACTGCTTTTACGTTACAAAAGAGGAAGATTTCACGATCGAATTTGCCGCGTGGCTCTAAATGAGTCTTGTTTGGGCAGTAGTTAGCCTGTCAGAGTCCTGAAGTAGTAATGGATTCATATTCAAGGCTGAGCTTTGAATGGTTGAGTTAGCTTCCATTACTATCACTTTCAAATTCTTATAAGATAGATAGATAGATAGATAGATAGATAGATAGATAGATAGATAGGTAAGGGCTGCTAAAACGTTCTCTGCCCGACCAACTTTCAAACATCATGCCAAATGTGTTGTCATTAAAAACCTATGTAAGTTTTGGGATATATTTACAGTCTATTTTGCAAATTCTTGCTACAGGTTTAATGTTTTTATGATTTTGTTTGTGTTAAATAATGTATTGGTAAGTAGTAACTAATATGATATTAAGTTCAGATAAATTCTTTTCAGTTGTAGACTTTTGTGTGTACTTAGTATTATGTGCCTGGTATTATCAACGATATTTAAATTATTTTTTATGTGAATTTGTAAGCTTTTCTATGCGTTATGTATGAAATATATTTATAATTTCATATAGTGGATTGTATTATTCATTTAAAATGTACGATTTTTGATGACTGAAAATGTTTCAATAGTTCTTTTGTTAAAATTGTTTTCCTTTTTTGTCTCAAATATCATCCTAGATTATGTATTTCTCTGCAGTTTTCCTTCCAGCACGAAGGGACAACTATTTGTTTTTGTTTGTTTCTCTCTTTTTGTGCTGTTGAAATCGTTTTTCATCGTCTCTTCTTGTGTAAGAACACTGAAGTATTTACTTCAATTCAGTGCGAACCATTTTCATTTTTTCCTTTATATCTGATCCTTCTCGGCTTAGATCGACTCAATTCAATCCAATCAGGCTACATTCTTGATTCTTGTATTTGAAATGCATGTTTCTTTTGCATAATGAGTCTTAAATGAAAATGCCTCTTGAAAAGTCTTTCTTCTCAAATGCGAATCTTTCCAGGTATTTTCTCATTCATATCACTTTAATTCTTTTGTGAGATTTTCTCCTTTTCCTTATTTCATGCTGTCTTTTTTTCTTTCATATATTCTTTTTCTGTTATTCTGATTTTTCTTTTTATTCTTATAATTCCTATTTTTATTATTCTCTCTATTCTTTTACTTTATTTCCATTCGCTTTATTTTTCTTTAGTTTCCGATTATATTCTTTCATAATTTTTAAGATTTTGTATTTTTCTTCTTTTTGTTTTGTTCTTTATTCCTATTTTATATCAAATTCTTTCTTTTCTTCTCTTTATTTTTTAACCAACCACTTTTTATCTTCATTTTCTTAAAATTCTGCTAATGCTTTTTTATTCGTTTCTTTCTATTCTTTTTTGACGTCTTTAATCCGTCTTTTTATAAGTTTTCATTATTTTCCTTTATTCTTTGACCGAGCATGTGAGTTTTTTCTTTTGTACGTCTAGTTTTTTTTCTAATGTACTTTCTTCCTCATAATTATTTCTTCTTTTACTGCTTCTCGGTTGTCGGAAATGAGTCAGAAACTTGAAAGTAACTTCTTTCTTCCAGTGACCAAGCCACTTTACTTCGAGACACAATTAGAAACGATCTCTTCCCTCTTCTTCCAGGCAATATGATAATATTAAAGGCACCAAAGAGTACAAGACAGTTAAACACTAAGGTGACTATTGCTAACAGACACGAAGGTGCGGCGGAGTGTCTGACAAAATAGGATAATCAAAAACCTACCTGAGGAGTAGATTCAACATGGTCGATCTTCCGCGGGCATTCTCATTGGTCCACGCACGGGAAATATTTACAATCGAAGAGATTGCGTAGTAGTTTCGAACTGCATTCATGCTCCACAGATTTAAGATTTGTTAATGTAAGCTCAGGAGAAGCAAAATTAACGAACTGAAAATGATGGTATAGTCCTCACCAAGAAATACTCCTATTTACTTATAATTTACAGAAAAACAAAAAAGAATCCACAAATTTCTTCAATTTTCATCCAACCAAATAAAGTAAGAGGCACCCGTCTGTCTTTCTCTGTCCAACGACAAGTTATATAAGTTCCGAATACCTTTTTTATCATAGATTGAATACACATTTGAAAACTGGTTCTTCGCTGTAAACTTATGAACACACCTAATAATTAACTTTACAAAAACAAGCAACTAGGAATTAATGAAGAGAAGAGGAGCTTGTCGAAATCTCGCAAGTACATAAATTTAAATATTTGGGAAGGATTATAACAGATGAAGAAAAGCCACAGAAGATACATTGGAATGGCGAAAAGTACCCTTCCAAAAGCTAAGCAAATTAAGAAATAGGAAAACTTCATTAAAAACAAAGAAAATTGAACTGGACTGCTATGTAATATCAATCGTCCTATATGACAATGAATGTTGGGAAATTTCCACGCGGATGATGAGAAAAGATTCTACAGAATTATGCTGAGAATATTATGAAGGAGAATGTAAACAATGGGCATGATTTAAAGAAGTGGAAACAAAAATCACATTCAAACTTAGAAAGATACAATTGCGATTTCCTGTGCACATAATGAAGAAAGAGGTTTGTGATCATCCACGTACTGAAAAAAAACGGCACATAGAAGAAAAATATTTGGTTAATGAAACTCGTAGACAAACACATAATCAAAAAATGGGAGTTGCTTAAAAGACTGGCTTTAGTAGATTAGCTCTGGCTTTACTTACACTCAAAAAAGAATTTCTAAGTACAATGACGTCTTTACTACACATATATGTCTGCTTACATATGTCACAAATAAAAGCAAATTAATTCTTAGGCGAGATCAGTCTTTTTCGAAAGACTGTTACATTGTATATTAAGACGTTTATATCATATTTCTTGGCGGATATATCCTAACTCAATATTGTTACATCATATTTCAAGACTGAAGCGTCAAATCTCAAGATTAAATACACCATGTCAGTATTACAATTAAGCACCTAAACCGTTACTATTAAAAAAATAATAACGGGCATGTAACTTTTTACAATTGTTATTTCGATCAAAATTCCCCACTTGCAGACAGATAGAACGTAAAAAGAAAATGAATATAGACATAACATAGGTATTGCATACTTTTATTGGTGCATTATGGCCCTAACTGTTAAATGATAAAGAACAATCTGATTCAAAGTTTTCTATTTTTAATCACTTCAATCCAATCAAGGCAACAAATTCACTAAGTGCGAGCAAATAAACTGTTAGCATAGAACTTACGGTTACATCTAGCTATTTTAACTGTGAAATGAATAGATCTTGCCGCCAATTCATCATAATAATTACCATAAAAGTACTTATAAAAAATATACAGGTAAGCGGGATGGCGGTTAGAAAGTGACTGAAGCCGAGATGTCAGGTGAGTACATTGCAGGTTCTTCTTTGGATTTTATCAATAATTTCTTATTACACCAAACCATCCGTGACAGCATTATTCTAAGCATGGACGAATGGTAGCCATATAAATATGTAAGATAGATTTGGGTGGGAAAAAAACCATCAATCAACTTTCTTAGCAGCAAACTTTTGATTCAATATCATCTTTCTAGTTAATGTCAGCGGAAAACGTTAGACCGAGAAGGCAATGAGTCTATCTCCTGGATGTTAACATTAACCGTGCTGATGGAAGGTAGAAATGGTTATTTAAGGCGATTAATATAGAGCAGTTTCGTTTCAGTGGCGTTAAAATTAACAAGCTTTTCTTCGCCCAAGTTAACAACAGAATAGAGGTCATTTTTAGATCAGCTGCCAATTTGACCTTATCGAACTGATCAGACTTATTATTTCATTTTATATACCCTGTCCTTTCAGAACATGGACGATCATTGCAAGCTAATACTCCTTGTTTTTTCTTACTCTAATTAAATTTTGACTCTTTACCATCCCTCTTTCTCTTTGTTCTGCTATTCATTCACCCAAACTTATTAAATAGGCCATTCGCTATTTAACTCTGCTTCTCATGCCTTCAATATATTTTACGAGTTTTAAACTCCCCAATTCTTCTTTCTTCGCTACGTTTTATTCCTGACTGTTCAAAAGTTTAACTTCCATTAAAGCTCAATAAAATAAATATACACCTCTAACCGGTTTCGAACTTTGACTACTTATCCTAAATTCGCCATTTTCTAAGTCATAGATAGATAGATAGATAGATAGATAGTAGTCGGTAAGATGTAGGGAAAATACATTGCTGATGTTGTTATTTTATTACTATGTGACTCATGGGTTCGGTTTGTGCCCCACAAAGCGAAAGTTAGTGAAGATATATCAATAGAAAAACAAAGAGAGTGATAGATAAAGAGAGATAAAAATATTAACACAACCAAAGTTAGATAGATAGATAGATAGATAGATAGATAGTGTTATGGTCCGATTCCTTGTACTATGGTGATAGTCCAAGGTAGAACCAATAAAGAAGAACTCGAACACGTATATGGAATAACACAGATATATTACAAACAGGTATATATACAGAGAAGTAGAAAGTGTTAGTACGAACAATCAGGTTTAGTAGTAATTGTCTGAACGCGACTCTGTTTCGGACTGCCTATGACTCAACTGACAGACTCGTTCTGACTGACTGACTGACTGACAGACCTCTGACGGACTTCACTCCAGACTTCAGACGGAACTCCCTGCTTCCTCTTGAGGCGCAGTATTTATTACGTATGGGATAGTCCATTATGTTATTATGGGTAAGGTCCCCTAACACACCCTTCCGAAAATGCATCCTGTAACGGTCTCTTCCTTATTTGGTTTACGAGTCTTCTGTGTGAGAATTTTTTCCTTGAACTATGTACATCATATTGCCAATTCTTTTCTAAATTATCTCTTTTTCTCAGCAAGAGGTAATATTTTTGTATGCCTTAAAAAAACACTTTTTCCCCTGGGAGGAATTTTCTTTTTGGTGTGTAGGACTGTGTTTTGTTTACTTGGTCGTAGTTTATCGAACGCTGATCTGATTTTCATAGCAAACATGATATCTGCTGGTGATAATGTTGATGGTGTCTCATTATTTGGCGTTATTCTATATACCTGTAAGAATTGCTGTAATGCTTTCTCCATATGCACATCGTACGCTTTTCGTAATGCTCTTCTGAGAGTATCCACGAATCTCACCGCTTGTCCATTTGATCTTGGATGATAAGGCGGGGATTTTATATGTTTTACTTGATAGATTTCGCAAAACTCCTGGAAATCTGCTGACGTGAATTGCGTTCCGTTATCTGTTACTAAACAGTCCACTACGCCAAACCGAGCGAATAGCTCGTGGAGGAAATTTATGGTCGTTTCTGTAGTAGGATTTTTGCACTGAAACACCTCCGGCCATTTACTGTAGCTACCAGCTATGATTAAATAGTAGAACCTGTCAATTGGTCCTGCATAATCTGCATGTATTCTTTACCATAGACGATCAGTTTCAGGCCAAGGCTTATGTATGAATGGCGGTGCTTTAGCTGCTAAATTACAACCCTTGCACATTTCCATCATCTGAGTAATATCCTAGTCCATATTCTTCCAATATACATAGTTTCGCATTAGCGACTTCATTTTATTTTTACCCGGGTGTCCCCTGTGGAAATCCTTTAGGATCCGCTTTTGTAATGTTTTGGGAATTACAACCCTTTCGTTGTAAAGTAGCACATTATCGCATAGAGAAAAGATGTCCGAAATTTGCTCATTTTTTCTGCTATTTTTGCTTTTGTTTCATTAATAAATTCGTCATTTTTGGCTTCATTTTTTATGTCTTGCAATGTGACTGGGAGGTTTCTGACTGTACAACATAGTACTGTCCTTATGTCTTCTTCATTTCTAAGGGCTGCTATTACCGTATCTTCCAATTGCTCTGTCTTTGTTTATATAAGTCTCGACAGGACATCCGCGTGCCCGATTCTTTTCGTTGGTAAATATTCCAATCTGAAATTATAGTTCAGAAGAATCGTTCCCCATCTAAGTAGTCTATTTGCCGTGTACACCGGTAGACCTTTTTTTGAACCAAAAATTTTTATTAACGGTTTGTGATCCGTCTGCAGAGTAAAGTGTCTACCATAGACGTATCTATGGAATCTTGTTACTGCGAAGATAATTGCTAGAGCTTCCTTCTCAATTTGAGAATAGTTTTTCTCCGCTGGTAGTAGGGTTCGAGAAGCATGTGCGATAGGTTTTATTGTCCTATCTGGCATTTTATGTAATATACAAGCTCCGACACCGTAGGCGCTCGCATCACTTGCTACAATCATCTCTAGTTTAGGATCATAGTGTGCCAAAAATAAATCCGATGTTAATGTCTTGATTATTTTTTCAAATGTTTCCTGGCATTGATCTGTCCACTGCCAAACTTTTTCTTTCTTTAGCAGTTCGTTCAATGGTGGGCGAAGTTTATGCATTTGAGGCATGAATTCCTGCTAGTAATTCACTAATCCAAGAAAACTTTGTAATTCTGTCATGTTCTTAGGACTTGGCATCTTTTTTTATTGCTGTAGACCTTTCAGGGTCTGGTCGTCTACCTTCTTGGTCTATTATATGGCCAAGATATTTAATTTCCTTCATGAAAAAATCACACTTATTTTCTTTCACTTTGAATCCGTAGCTTTGAATTCTCTTAAACACTTCTTGTACATGTTGCCAGTGTTGTTCAACGCTTTCGCTATTAATCAATATGTCATCCAGATATGCTATTGTGTATTCTTGTCCTGCCAGCATCGTATCCACTGTATGCTGGAAAATAGCCGGCGCTACTTTAATTCCAAATGGTAGTCTTTCCTATCTGTACAATCCCTTGTGTGTGTTTATGCATAGTAGTTTTGAACTTTCTTCATCGACTCGGATTTGCAGGTAAGCCTCACTTAGATCAATTTTTGAAAAATAATTTCCGCCATTTAATTTAGTGAATACTTCTTCAGGACTAGGTAGCGGATAGTGGTAGTCCTTTATTGCTGCGTTCAAACCTGTAGAAAAATCAGCACAAACTCGAATTTCTCCTGATTTCTTCTTAACGTAGACCGTCGGTGCGACCCATTTGCTGTACTCTACTTTTTTTTCAATATGCCCGTATTTTCGAGTCTAGATAATTCTTGGTCAATCTTGTCTGTTGACGCAAAACGGTACACTTCTTTTTTTCTTAAAAATAAGTTGAACGTTATCCTTTATTTTGATATTAGCTGCCATTTTCTTGCATCTTCCGAGACCTGCCGAAAAGACTTCGGGGAAACTCGTTTTTAGTTTTCCTTTTAATTTGTCTGACTCGGTTAATAAGCTTTTTACATTCTGGCAGTACGTACTAATAGGTAGATCCCACAATTCGAATTTTTGTATCCAGTCTGTCCCGAATAGGTTTTCGGTATTTCTTAAGACGTACACTTTTAGTTTTTTCGTCATTCCGTTAAATGTTACGTTTGTGATTACTTCACCCTCGAGTTTTATCTTTCTCCCCGTAACTGATCTCGCAATTTTATCCGTTTTTAACATGACAGGTTTGTTCAGTTTTCTCCATGTTTGTAGATTTAGGATAGTTAAGTCTGAGCCAGAATCCAGCTGTAACCTAACTTTTCTGTTTTGTATTTCAACTTGTACATATTTTCTTATATTAGTCTCATCTGTTTGGTCGGTCCTCGTAATTCTTATTCTGCTTTCTTTTCTATACCAACAGTGAGAACTTTTGTGACCAATTTTTTTACATGATCGACCAGTTTTAACACGATATGTACAGTCTTTAACCTAATGCCAAGACCCACAACGATAGCATGGACTTGGTGGTAGTTTCTTTTTATGTTGATTATAATTAGAAAATTTTGTTTTACCTGTTCTTGAGGCGTGAAAATCAGTTCGGTTTGTTTGAGAGGAGGGAAAATTTGTTTGCTTTGTTTGTGAGGAGGGAAAATTTGTTTGTCTTCGTACTTTGCTTATGTATGCTATGCCAGCTTGTTCTATGTCTTTAGAGTCTTTTTTACGCTGACGCATCTCTGGCAGTCTTCGGCTAGTTTTTGAAGTGTCAGATCTTGTTCATTTTCCAATTTAGTAAGTATTCTACGTCTCATTTCTGCGTCTTTGGTTGAAACCAGACCTTGGACATAAATTAAGCTTTTAAAGTTGTCAGCGCTGAGTTCCGATAATCTGAAGTCGTCACAATATTTATTAACAATGGATGCGAAAGTTACGTAATCTTCGCTATCCTTTTTTGTAAGGTTCATGCATTTCCATCTTTTATGAAATAGTGAAGTATTATGGCTGAAAAGTTCCGTTAGCAATTTTATAGATTCTTTGAACGTTAACTCGCTTGTTTTTCTGGGAAGGATATAACCAACGAATTTGGTATATTCGCCTGTGCCTAATTTTCTTAATAAAAGGCGTACTTTACGTGCGTCTGACCAATCTTTGCAGTCAAAATTATATGGATCTTCATACTTTCGGAAGTAATTTGCAAAAGTTTTATCTTCGTCGGGTGCGTACTTGAAATCTTCGATATTACTGCAAATAGCGTCTTGAGAGACAACTGATTCATTCTCGGTATTTGCTCCTTATTTGCCATTGCACGTATGAATAATTCTTGCATTTCTAGATGTTTTTGTTCGTACCTTTGTTGTTGTTCAAACTGGATTTTGATAAGTTCCATAATGGTTGACTTAAGATCTTCCATGTTAACGTTTTGTTTTAGTTTTTTGTGTGTAACCTGATATTCTGTAGCCTGTGCTCGCAAAATAAAACTTTCCTTTGTTGTCAGTGAAATTTTATATCAAGAATATAAAAAATTTTCTATTTTTTTTTTTTTTTTAGAATTTAATCGTCGTCCACTGTTACGTACGATGGATAGCAAAAAAAAGATATGTCCTCCGAGTAGGGAGTTTATTTTTCTTTAAAGATTTTTCCAGATCGCCAGATCGTTATGTATCACGTATAGCAAAAAAAATAAGTTCTCCGTGTATAGAGCTCGTATTTCCTTTTTAAGGGTTTCTTCGTCGTCACTTGTTATGTTGACGAGAGAAGATTTTGTGGTTTGTTCTTCACGTGTGAGTTCGAATCTTCGTCACCACTTGTATGCTGTGGCGAACAGAATTTTTTTCTTCCATCGAATGAATTGGAATCGATCGTCGCCACTGTTATGGTCCGATTCCTTGTACCATGGTGATAGTCCAAGGTAGAACCAATAAAGAAGAACTCGAACACGTATATGGAATAACACAGATATATTACAAACAGGAATATATACAGAGAAATAGAAAGTGTTAGTACGAACAATCAGGATTAGTAGTACTTGTCTGAACGCGACTCTGTTTCGGACTGCCTCTGACTCGACTGACAGACTCGCTCTGACTGACTGACAGACCTCTGACGGACTTCACTTCAGACTTCAGACTGAACTCTAGACTTCAGACGGAACTCTATACTTCAGACGGAACGGTATTTAGTCACTCCCCATGAGGGCATCATGTGGCACAAGGCCGGTTTAACGTGGGATCTCCGAGCCCGTGGGATCTCCGAGCCCGTGGGATCTCCGAGCCCGTGGGCTCGGCCAAAAATATGCCCTTTGAACCCGTATAAACGGGTTCAGTGTCGGTTTGCCTCCCCGAAAGAGACTCCGCCCTTCGGCGTAGCCTCGTTCGGGTTCCTCCCCGCCCGAAGGTAGAGAGTTCAACCGATCAGCCGATCAGCCGGTCGTCCGACTTCAGACGGAACTCCCTGCTTCCTCTTGAGGCGCAGTATTTATTACGTATATGATAGTCCATTATGTTATTATGGGTCAAGTCCCATAACAGATAGATAGATAGATAGATAGATAGATAGATAGATAGATAGATAGTGTTGTGGATTCCGGGATGAAATCCGGTACCAATAAATAACAAACGCCAAGAATGAATATAGGAAAATAATGTATTAATGTAATAATACAAACTGGTAATACAGGTTAGTAGTTCCAGGAATACGGGTTAGTAGCAAAATATCTATACAGTCTTTTGTATTGAAATATCGATGTATGACTTCTTACTGGGTCTACGTACTCGCTCACTGTGACTCTTGCTGGCTACGTTCGTTCTGTATGTCTGGTACCTTACTCTCACTCTTCCGGTTACCTACAACCTTTCACTCTCTCTCTCTCTCTCTCTCTCTCTCTGTCCTTGCTCTGTCTCGGGTCTTCACGTAGCATTAGTATATGTATATATTGGGTGAGTCAATTTGTGTAAAAAGGGGAGGACCCCTCAACCGATAGATAGATAGATAGATAGATAATCTCCAGCTGATTTTTTTTCTGTCCGGAGAGAAGTTTTTTATATAGTATGGTTTCTCATGCTTTCTCTTTCACAATGAAGCTTGGGGCTAGTATCTGATGGAAATGCAAGCAGGCGATTTCAAATATGCCAAGACTTGACTACAAACTTAATTCACTTAATTCACTTAATTCAAACTTAATTTTCTGAGAAGTTTTAGTGTTATTTGTTTTCCGAACCTTTCATTATTACTTAATGTTGGCGTGCAGTCCCATTGGAGTTTCCATTGCCAGTCTTCAGCCCATTCAGAGTTAACAATGTTTAGGCTTAGGGTTAATTATTTTGGCATCGGGCCCTCCCGAGCAAGCAAAGCTGGCAGTAGGCCACACACCTGTAACATTTCTTCTGTCTATCAATTTAATCACGGAACTTTTCAATCTATTTTTGTATCGACCGCATGAGGTTTTCTATTTTCATTTTTATTCTTGAAGGCGTGTTTTGATGTTGTTTTCGTTTGATGAAAGCAATGAAATAGTGTGTGAAAAAATGAGTAAGATGTGTTGAAGATGAGAATAAGGACAGACAAAATATAAATTCTTGTGAATACAAAAAACTCTCTTTTCTATATGTATCAGAAAATAAGATGTTTGTCGGCGATTGTATTCCATTTCGTTAAGTGCAACGATAGATGAATTTAAAGCAATTTTTTTTTCGTAAATTATCTTTAATAAATGAAAAACTGGTCTACCTTCAGGAATTCATTAAGAATCAACTTTTTTGTAGGGTGGGCAATTTTTTAACCAATTTTTGTGAAGGGTGGATAACTGTAAATGCAAGTTTGATTGTGGTAACAACAGTTACATTCGCTAGAAGATGTGTAAATCTTTTGGTAAAAGATATCTGAACGTGTCGATTCAGTCTGGCCTAATTCGGTTCGAACTTGAATATTATCTGACCCTCGTTGAAGAAAAAATTTAATATTTGTTAGATTCCTTACTATAAAAAATGAGGCCATATTTAGGATAAAAAACAGTTCGGAACATTTTCAGAGCCGTGTCTATTTCATAGATTTGAATGTTCTCCAATGCGGGATTTTTACACTGATAAAAAGTATTTCTGTTCACTTCTGGTTCAATTTATATATTCTGTTCACTATTACTTATTACTATTTATCTATGCATCTAAACTTGATAGACCTAGGTTCTCTCTGAAGACAATAAGTATTTACCCACATTTAAAAATTTCCATTTAATCCAAAAAAATAAATAAATATAATTTTGTTCACTCTTTTCTGCCTTGTTTCTCTCTTCAGAAAGAAAAGGTGATTAGTGTCTTTGACAGCTTCATACATCTTTCGTTGATTTCACCAATACTTACTCCATTACAACCTTTCTTTGCCTTTTTGCGTACTCGTCCTTTTCTCTAAATTTGTCAAGTATGTTTCTCACTGCTTTCCTCTGCTTATCGTACTTTGATATGCGCTGTTAGTTTTAAATTCTCCAAATCTTCTTTCCTAATGATGTCTTAAAATTTTCAGTTGTCTATCTCTGATTATTAGCAACAATTTCTTTTTAGTTCCCATTCATCTTAATGCTTCTTTGTCACTCACATAATCTGATCATAGTATTTATTTTGGCTCCTCGTATATATTTTCGCTTTCGTTTATAAGTTTTATATACAATTTTTGATTGTAATATAGACATTTAAGTGGTATAGGGCAGTGATGAGCATTCAAGAAATAAAAACTCGATGATCAACTCTTAAAAATCTCTAGACATTAATTTAAGAACTTCTAAACAGCTAACAAAGTATTCACTCAACTTTAAAGCCATGATTATCAGAAAATAACGGAAAAGACAAAAACGTCAGCCAATAGTTGTAACAGGTATCAGTCAACCAATAAAGACTAAGATTTCCAGTGCCTTCAGTACAATAATATTGTTTAGATTTCTAAGTTCTTCTGAACAAAAAAATGCTTTTATAACAGACGTCAATCAGCTCAGTAAAACAACAGTATGTTTAGCATAATCAAAGTGAATATTATTCTTTTTCAAACACGAAGTAAACGTAGCATTATGAATGTTTATAACGTACAGTAGCAGAAACCTTAATCTTGTCAAGGGTTGACAAGTCTCAACAATTCTTAAGTAATATTTGTTTACAAAAATGATGAAAAATAAAGTAAAAGGAACATTTAATCAAACAGAAAACTGGTTATAAGAATAGGATACCACTATTAAATGTCAATTTCCAAACGCTAACCTCAGACACATAATGAGGAAAGGCTTAGAAAATTTGACACTGATAGATATTGAAGGTAAAAGGAACAGAGGAAAGCAGAGCATAACCTGCCTAACTTGCTTAGATAGAAGAAGAAGAAGAAGAAGAAGAAGAAGAAAAAGAAGTTAGATAGTCTAGAGAAATGGAAAATAACGCATATTACGTACAATTTTCTTCCTTTTTATTTTACTGAATTTTATGAAATGTAGAATACTACTAGTTCTGAACTTTGTTTAAACGAAAAACATTTCACTCACTGGCGTCCCCAAGGACACATAGCCCAGTGGATGAAAGTGTTGGTTGGTTGCTTGGTCCAAAAAGTGACTTTATCCAAAGAGTTAGGAGTTCAATCCCTGACCTCAGCAAAGAGAACAAAAACTTAGAGTTATTAAGTAGAATTAACTAAAACTGAGATATCCAATTAAATTAAACCTGGACTAAATAAAGGGTTTCGTTCAAAATATCACCTGAAGACCATCGCATACAACGGCCGAAACGTGAATGTATCACTAAAGATGAGGACAACAGTCGGAACAATGTAAATAGAGAATAGTTTCGTTCAGAAGTATATTATGCTCGTCTCGGTGCAGATCTAAGGTTAGCCATTGAGTCTTTCCGATCATTCCCATTGAATAGCGAGTTCGATCCTGATGTCGTGTTTCATATATGGAGCTGTGTACGAAAACTAAACTACGCTTAATATTAAAAATTAGATGCCTCGGGTTAGATAATGTTTGCTGAAATAGTCGAGTTGCATATTATTAGTGTCTAGTGAGTTTGCGTCTCACTGAATGACCGATAATTAAAACCTTATGCTAAACTACAATTTACTCCTGCCTCAAAAACAAATCTAGTGTCGGTGACAAAACAAACCTGGCCGCTCGTCTTGAAATGGACCTCCAATCGGTTGTTAATTGGGACAAGAATTGGCTGATCAACTTTAACGCCTCAAAAACTAAACTACTCTATATTAATCACCATAGAGATCCTTCCCTACCCCCCCCCCATTAGAATGTCTGATAGTCAACTTCTTGAGAGCAACTCTCTGCGTCTGCTCGGTCTCACGTTGACTGCTGACCTGAGATGGAACAAATACATTGAGTCAATTGCATCGTCCACCGCGAAGAAAGTTGGCTCTCTGTGCCGCGCCAGGAAATTTTTCTCCCCGGAATCGATACTTCAAATATACAAATCAACCATTCATCCTTGCATGGAGTATTGCTGCAATATATATGGTCTGGGGTACCTTCTGTTTACCTCAGAGTTCTTGACAAGATACAGTGACGGATATGTAACATAATTGGCCCTGATCTGGCATCTTGTCTACAGTCACTCTCTCACAGACGCACCGTCGCCTCTCTGTCTTTTCTACAAATACTTTCATGGTAATTGCTCCGATGAGCTGCTTTCACTGGTTCCCAGACTCCATGAATTCAAGCGCCCTAGGAGGATTTTAAATGTAGCCGTCTCTTCTACTCCAATAGCTTCATATCTCGCACCTCTCGCCTGTGGAACACCGTTCCCAATTACTGTTTCCCTGAGAGCTATAATCTCCAACTATTCAAATGTAATGTCAATCGACATCTCCAGTTACCTTGATCTATCCACTATCCCTCTCCTCGTCCTTTCTTCTATCACTCCTATCTGCTCTCGCTCCAAATCTTCTGCAACCCCTGCATCCTAGTGGCTTCACGCCTTGCTCGGGGTGTAATGCTTAAAAAAAAAAAAAAAACTAAATTCACGAAATAAATCTCGGCATTGGCTAATGATTCGGGTGTTAGTCTTTTTTACCATAATTACTAAAAAGAAGAGTTCACTCCTCACTGGATGCACTAGTAGCCTTGTGCCAAACTAAAATAAGCTTATTAAACGATGATAACAATACAATAATTTATACAAGATTACAGAAATAATTTAACTATAGCTGCACACACACACACACACACACACACACACACACACATATATATATATATATATATATATATATATATATATATATATAGAATATAACATGGAAAACATATCAAAATCGCTACACAGTTGCAGTCGTGTTTCGATACATATCAAGGCATCTCATTTGGTGATTGTAAATTACTGGTAAATGAACGATTTATTCAGATTTAAAAACAAAATACAGACTCTTTTTACGAAAAAAAAGAAAAATATAGGAGCGAGGTTGTTATAAGGTGTGTGGACTTTAATCAGATCAACCAGTTGAATATGATCTACATTAAATTTAAACTAAGGGAAGAAGCAAAAATTAAGGAATTATTTTTCATAAATGGGTCGAGCCGTAGATTTGAAATCAATGGCAGCAACAGACGTTAAACAGGAGCTTATGTAAATGGATACATATTGTACATTAGACAATGACATTTCCTAAGAAAAATTAAGTGGTACTCTAACAAAATGCTAGACAAGTTATATGCTTTGTGAGTTACTTACATAAAAAATACATTTTATAGTTGATAAATAAATAGCTTCTTTAAGAAACTAGTAAATAATTTAAAAGCATATACTTGGTAAATTAATACGTAACTGTTGACTAATGATTCTTCATATGAGGTGTTAATAACAATAATGCAAAATGTCAAAATACCAATACATCCTACAAGATGTTACTAACACTACCAGGAGATTAATACAAAATTATATTAAATCTAAATTAATCTTACCAATAGCAGAGTTCAACTAAAATTTAAGAAAAAGCATTATCAAATTCCAAGTCTAACTGAATTGTAAGGTAAAAGGTAGACTGTTATTTACAATTTACCGTTAACTCAGATGTTTGGTTTGATAAAGTATTCTTATCAAAGAACCTGATAATTTTGCAATTTCCCATGTAAACATAGAAAACAAACCTACACATCCTTGCCTTTTTTCAAAATTTTCCATTTCCCCTTAGGAGTTTTATTGTCGTCTTTCAAACACTAAAGATATTTAGAAAGTGATGTATTATTCCTATAAGTAGTATCAGTAAAGGACAATCTATGTTGATACCACCTAGTCTTTAAATATTTCTTACTACTAGCAATATGAAACTTTTCAACCGTCGGATTTCCTATTGTAGAGATAGAACAAAGAATATTACTGTACTTTGTATTGAGTCCTCTTTTAAATTAAATATTACGAACGTAGGAATTGTACTCTATTCGTTCTCATCTTACCTGGAAATATATATATATATATATATATATATATATATATATATATATATAAATAAAGTGAAGAGTTTTAATAGTTCCAACGAGAGAAAAGTGTGTATATTAAAAAGAAGACAGAAACCGCAAACGTTTTTGTTTGTAATGTGGATTTTTTTTTAAATATTACGCTTTATTTGCCATAATGTTGCTACACGGGTTTCCGGTTTCGCGACCTTCATCAGGCAAAGCGTGAAGATTTCCCCATATTATTAAACATAATTAATTTTTTCCTTTATGTTTTTTGATGTTAAATATTCTCGATATGAGACATTCTCGTTTTTGTGTGTTAGTGACCCAAATATCTTTCTTGAACTGGCAGTGAAAATTTCTGCGTGTAGGTTTATAAAACAATTAAGGTTGGTCCGAGAAATGGTCAAGGAGTTATCGGGATTCTTATCTTTTAATGACCCCTGTGTGTTCTTAGATCTATTTCCATTTTCTTGTTTTTTTTGTCAGCATGAGTGTATATGTGTATATTCCTTCTCCATACATACACACTGTCTTATTACGATGAATTAGTAAACACATTTGTACACATACATACACACACTTCCTATGCTGTGTAGTGTTCGCGCGAGTGCTCGTTGTTCTTGCCAATACTTCCTCTCTACATACACATATCGTCCTATTACAAGGAATCTGTACATACACACACACACACATACATACATCGTCGTCGTCGGCATCCGTCCGTCTCGAGAGACGATGGAGTAGCGCGGTGTGCTACGAGTCTGGGCAGGATATATAGAGAACTAGGGCTGCCCAGTTATCTAGTTCCCCCTCTCGGCCTTGATAGCAGAGTCCAAAGCAGGGGATAAACCAATACAGTTTGGTACCAGCGCGGCTGCAGGAGTTGCCGGAAGGTAGTACAAAGTGCCGTCCATCCGCCTTAGGGGCTCCATTCCGAGTTTGAATTCAGAGATGTCCTTCTCCTAGACCAGTTGCCATCCAAGGCTATAGAACCCAGTCTGTCCTGCTAGGGAGAAGAAGAGGATTCACACTTTTCCCAATTGTATTAGCACGTAAGTAAATGTAAAGATTATGTGGTTGTTTTTATTTCTAATGAGTATATCTAAAAATGGTAATTCGTTGAAATTATATTCTTGCGTGAATTTGATTTGGGGGTGTAAGTTATAAGGTAGAGTGTGGAATTGGTTAATATCACCCCATGAGGATTTCCAGAAAATGAAGCAATCATCTAAGTATCGTTTCCAAGATTTACTGAATTGGGATTTTATATTTTCCCCATATATTTGTTCTATTCTTTCATAGAGGTTTTCTTCTAGGCAAGCTAATGTTAGGGTGGCATATGCCGGTGCCATTTTTGTTCCTATTGTAGTACCTAGGGTTTGGATATAGATTTTGTTGTCAAATTCAAAGGTGTTATTGTTTAGAATTAGGTCTATACGATCGATAATGGACTCCTTAGTGAATCTGGGATGTAGTATTTCTGGATGTTTTTCAATCCAGAATGAGATTGCCTTTTAACTAGTTCATGGGATATGTTGCTGCATAGCCTACTAATGCCATAAGTGTTCTCGGATCTACTTTTTGTGGTATGCAACCAACGAAGTGAATATCGTCTCTGATGTGGCTTTTAATTTGCTTAGTAAATGGTTGTAATATTATGCCTATTAGGTTAATGAGTTTGCTAGTTGGACAGGCTGGTCCTGCTACTATTAGTCTGAATGTAAGGTCAGTGGGGTTTGGGATGCTAATGGATTTATATATATATATATATATATATATATATATATATATATATATATATATATGGATATGAGTTTGTGGCTCTGGATTTCACGCTTTTGTGATCATCAAACTGGTTTATTTTTGACGATTGTGATTATGCTGGTAGTGATAATAGCTGTGATATCAATTATTACTGATAATGTTAATAACAGATATTGATATGTTAACAGTAAATT